TTGTAAGTTTAACTTGGGGATGGTAGGAGGGTGTTAGTTGTTCAACTGGCCTAGAACATTCACTTCAGATCAAAGGGCCTGTTGTCTCTCAAGTGGACAATAGACTTTCTCTGTCAGACACATGCATATTTTTAGTATTGGCCTAAAAATGTTAAGACATGAAATAAAGTCAGGGGGTGGGATATATAGAATGTATATAGAATTTATTCTTCAATTAGTCAACCTCATTTTTTAATTGCAGACTGGTTAAACTAACTTTACTGGACTAATCAGTTTAATTATTAATATTTTTGCAGGGGTATATTTTTATGTTCCTAGATTTAAGTTGACCTAACAATTAGAAATGGAATTGGGTTTAACTCATAGGTTCAACTCGGCCATATACTTAGGTTATTTTAAGACTAACATTTGAAAATTACACCTGCCTGAACAGAGGCATTTCCACCTATTCTTCTTCGAAGGGTTCTTCTATGTGCACTATCAATTGGTACACAGTACTTTGTTGAGTTTTTTTGTCCCATCACAATACATTGACACACATATCTTGTTATCTTCACAGACGTTACTTCTTCTATCAGCCCATGTTTGGATTTATTTTCGTGGACCGTTTCCCTTATTGTTAGTTTGTTTTCATTTTTAGTGAAGACTGTACTATAACTACACGCTCTGGACTGTAAAGTGCAATGGATGCTTACGGCTAGCCCCTGGATCCATTCACATGAATGTCTGTTGTTTATTGCTTGAAATGTCTGTGTACATTGTGTATCTTATGCACTCTTTTGTTGTATAGGTTTTCCTTTATACGTGGTGCGGTCTTCCTGTAATTACAATTTAAAAGATTGTGTTTTGGATGTGACGAGGAAGATACTTGATGTTAGGAGTTGATAGAAACAGATGTTATGGATTACGTGCTCATGAAGGGAGCAGCCATGTTTGATGTTATTTAGTGAGTTTACACCTGTTGGCACCATTAAGTATAATTTAACATGATATAAGAGATTAAAATAACATTAAATATAACAGTATATATACACCTTATAAATCCTGTATTTCACATCTAATAACATTAAACACACATTACACCCACCCTACATCATGGTAAATATTTAAAGGAGCAGTCTCAGATAATTTTTGTGAATGGAACTCTGGTTAATTCTGTTTGAGACTCTCAGAAAGCATTATTCTAGTCCTGTGTACATGTAGCTATTTTCAAAGAAATACAAATTATTGAATCTTGTTCACTAACCAATTAATTAAATAGTGATACCAAATGATTGACCAATCCATATTGTTTCTGCTATAAATTCTGATTATGTGCACAAAAAATTCAAAAAACTTTTGTTGGGATGATAATTTATGATGATTTTAATGCTGGGGATGCTAAAATTGGATCCATTACAATTTACTATGAAGCTCTATGGGCCTGGTTTAAGCATATGATATCGGTTGCCATGTTGGTTTGGCGGTGTCAACATTGTTAGTTTGATGCAAGTTTTCTTTTTGACAAAACCTATGTCTGAAAATTAATGGTCCTCATGTTGTTTTATTCCAGTCAGATATGAAATCCAATTCCAGTTATATATTTAACAATATAATATAATGTCTAACCTTGAACTCCCAAGATGTAAAATACCAACACTCTAACACAAAACATCTTGAATGTAAATTTAGATTCAGATATGTATACTTGTTTGTTTACATACAGCCAAATACATCAGAAATTGGTGATATTTCTTTGTAATGATCAGTAAGATCTCTAGAATACAACTAAAACACAATTTTCTGCTTTTTAAAAGTCAATTAAAACCTTCTAGACCAATTCGATTTGGGTCATAAGTAAAATTGTCTGTTTCATTAGATTTTGTAGTATGACTAGACCTCTATGATTTGGGTCAAAAATAAAATTTCCCTTTTTCTTCGATTTTATGTGTAGATTTGTATTGTCGCATGACAGTCTATCATCTTTGAAAATTTTACATCTATAGATAAAACCATCATTGAAATATAATCAGTTTTGTTTTGAGTTACACTGTCAACATATATACATGTAGTAGGTTTGAATTAAAAATAATATTATTAAACATTTGACTGCTTAATCTTTCGAAACTAAGATTTAATCAAAATAAAACATCAGATGAACTATAATCAGTACCTTAGATCAAAGAGGATTATCTCCAATATAATCAAAATTAAGGTATGAAAATGTTATTAGGATGTATTGTAACTATAAGAAGATTACAACATAAAATATTGGTTATATTTTCTACTATTCATAGCTGCCCTTTAAGTAGAATTATTTTAAGGATTATCTATTTTCTAGTTTATGATCTTTGTTAAAACGGAAATATTCAGTATTCCAACAATAAAAATTGATTATCTATGAAATACCGATCTATAAATCGTGAAGCTCGGAAATCCGATGTATAGCTTCCTACATCACATTGATTTACACAAAATTATATCATATTAGCCTACACAGTATTATAAAGTACATACAGGACTGTCAATAATTTTTCACAGTTGACTGCTAATCAACGAGTCCAACTTTGCTAATTTTGATTAGCAAATTAAAAAATTGATTGTCCGTTTTTCATTTTCAGCTCAAAACACCTAAATAACAAGATTTTACTTTTATTCATAACAAATGACTATATAATAGGTCTATAGGCCTATTGAATAATATGATAAAATTTATTGTTCTTTAGTTTTTAATCATTCTTAAGATTTTGTAGCACGGCTACATGTAAATGTGACAGATTGTGATGTAGACTTTTGGTTAGGGCTATAATTTTGTCTGTTTTTCTTCGTGCGTTACTATATTTTTTGAATCGGCGATATGCAGATATTTAGATAAAAACATCCATTTATCATGGTCTTCTTGAATTATCCATAGTTTTAAATAGAACATTACATTGGGAGTAGCTGATTAGAAAGAAAAAAGAAAATTGCAAATATTGCAAACAATTTGTCTGCAAACCAACATAATAGTTATTTGGCCGAGTAATAATACATATTGTATTCATAGCATAAAGAAGTGTTAAAAATAGGCCTAGCCTATCACAAGAGGATGGCTACAATATATTACAGTCGGACAAGACCCATGCATTGAGCATTAACATTCAATTGAGCTGTAATGATTGCACAGGTGAGAGTTTGCGCCTGAAGAAACTACTCGCATTGGAAAATTAGAACCGATTTACAAGGAATAATCGGAGACATTAACCCTGTTCATTTAATATTTGATTTTCACTGAATAGTTGGTTTGTTTGTGGTTTTGATGGGACAGTAATCCCATTCAATTCTATTTTTTAATAGTTGAACTGAATAAAATTCTATTTTATTCTTTAATAGTTTGATGATTATCGATGAAGAGAATAAGATGGGCATAGTTTTGATAAGACATTTCCCGGATCATTTCCATTCTCTAAGAGTTTGAGTTAACATTGGATATGTAACCAGTGTATGAGCCGAAGTTGACTCGAGAGAATTGATATTCATTATTAGGGTTTTGATGTTGGCATTAGTTGATTGTAGTAGCTAAATGTGGAAGTTTCAACTCTTGAGGGAGACAGAGATGATGTCAGCTTTTTAAAATGCCATTCCTACAATACACTATGATGTACAAGTCTTTGATTTCATCATTTGAAAACTGACAGTCTAGTTCAGAATCCCAGAAAAAAGAAAATTTGGAATTCAAGTCTGGCTTTGAAATTTAAATTTCATCCAATCATATGTGAGATACGCATAGCCTCAAATCTGTAGCCTCAAATCTGTACTCTTCTTTCAGGAATATATGAATATAAATTCCTCCATGTTTTTAAAAGCATTACAAATTGTACAAAACTGTATGTCTAATGGCTAAATCTATTTGTTAAGCCCAGCTCAATTTTCGTCAAGGTCTCGGAGATGTAAATAAGGTAAGGGAACATGATTATTGGCGAGATTGTAGGTTAGGGTTAGGTAAGTATTAGGGCTAGGTCGAGGGTTAGGGTTGTGATTAGGCTAGTCCTGTTTACATCTAGTGACCTTTGATCAAACTTGAAGTTGGCCGTATTAAATAGATCGATATTATAACTATGTTTAATTGTAAATGTCAGATTCATATGTAAATCTAGCATTATATTATTTACCATCATTTCAGTTGGATTGAGATCATATCTGCTTTTGAAAAAGCACCTTGTTCATGATATAATCACTTTCTGTATAGACAATAAGGCCAAGCCAATTTAAGTTTCAGTTCTTAAGCTCAAGGTGTTGATAAATAAATAGCCACTTGAATCATGTGAAAGATGTTTTGTTTAAATTGGAACTAAAACTTTTGAACAACACAAACAAGTACTTCTGTTTTTGTAAATTAGTCTCCCCCCACCGCCCCATCCCCAGTAGATTCCATGGCACTACTCCTTTGACATGTGGGAACTCATTGTTCTTGGCTCACACCAGGATCCAAATTTAGGACGTTCTAGATCAAGAGCCAAGTGTTATTAGTGCTCACCAAACATTATTTTAACCCCATTTTCTTAAATTTCAGATTATTTGGCAGTATCCAATCTGATTAAAATACAGATCTATATTTTGTTTCGTATTTTTTATACTTTAGAAGGCCTCCACTACATGAAGATCTGACCGATTGTAGTGGGAGGTCGCTTTTGACCCTATGACGTCAGACATTCATAAACCAATCAGCGTTTATGTGTCTAGTGGGATACCCACAGTTCTGCGCACCACACACCAAGAACTCACAGCAACAGATAGCTTCATTGGCTAATCCCTCACATCAACCAGAACGCGGGTTATGTAACAACTATAAAAACCAAAACAAAATAGGATCTGTGTTTTAACCAGATCAGACAGAATCAATATAAAAGTAGATACCTATGTTTTTACCTGTTTTTAAAAATAATTTCTCATTGTTCGTCTTTTAAATTATTTATAGAGATTTCTGTTTGAAAATGATTAAAATTCTAAACTACAAATATTTTATATTTTTCTACTTTCAGGTTATGGTCATTCTACACCACAGACGATTGGTGGAAAAATATTTTGTATGTTTTATGCGCTAGCAGGGATTCCACTGTGTATCGTTATGTTCCAGTCTGTGGGTGAAAGGCTAAACACATTTGTGACTTTTTTGTTAAAACAGTTACGCAAATGTTTTAAATTAAAAAATCCAGAAGTTTCACAGACTAATTTAATTTTAATTACAATGAATTTATCTATGATAGTTTTAACGACCGGTGCGGCCGCATTTTCTAGTTACGAAGGCTGGGAATATATTGACTCTTTATATTACTGCTTTATCACCCTAACAACCATTGGATTTGGGGATTACGTGGCATTACAGAAAGACAACGCATTACAAACTAAGCCTCAATATGTAGCGTTCAGTTTAATTTTTATATTGTTTGGATTAACAGTAATTTCTGCTGCTATGAACCTTTTAATTTTACGGTTTCTAACCATGAATACCGAAGATGAAAGAAGGGAAGAGCTAGAGGCAGCGGTGGCTGCACAAGGTGCAGTAAGATTGGACGGTGATATCATAACTGCTAACGGCAATGTAGTGTCGGGTGCTCAAGAGATGCCAGAATTTAACGATTTAGTTAGTGTGTGTTCCTGTAGTTGTTATAATTTACGATCAAAGTGTCGACCACGATACAAAGTGACAAGGGGACCCACAAAAATAGGACATTTGTTACCCATGCAGTCCGTGGCAAACAATCGGGAGGATTCACATAGTTGCGTCGAAGACACAAACTCATACCTTCAGTGGCAATTAAATCGCAAAAGAGCATCCATTTGAATAAAAGGTGGATGTATCGCTTGCTTTAATCATTGTCTTTCAAAAATGGAATGGTGAAAAAGTATGGGCTATTTTACAGTTAGTGAGTGACAAAGTACCAGCTGTGAGCTTTTGTTCAATTAGTGAAAATGTGTGAGCTTATATTTAATTAGTGAAAGAGTGAGAGCTTTTATTTAATTAGTGAAATCGTGTGATCCATCATCTAATGTTTAATAAAGTGTGTTCTTATTTGTCAGACTGCAATTGGATATCAAAATGGTAACATGACAACACCTATGTCCAGCCAGCAGGCATCTGTTTCGTGTTCTTGTAAACACATTCAGTGATAAAAATTATTGATTTTCTTTCATAATATCAAAAATCTACACCTGAACTTCAAGTGGCATTTAGTATTTGAAGACTTACACACGAAAACTTATACATGGAATAACAATTACTTATTACAGTTGCATGGTTAATAAACAAGTAATTATTATAACATGTATAGGTTTTAGTGTGAGCTAGATCTGTTGTTAAATGAAAAGAATTTGATCACATAGCAAATCCAGATTGGAAGACATAATAAGTTGAGGTCACTCTTCTATTTTTGAGTTATTCAACATTTAGTTGCCTATATTGAAGAGAGATGTAAAATTGAGTAAAATGTACTTTTGAAAAACATATACACATAGATAACAAAATGGTCAATGGGGATAGCAAATTGATCAAAAGGAATAATAACAGGCTGATCAAAAGGAGTAACAATGTGATCTTACGTTGAGTAATGAATTTGATTATTACTTGGCAATAACAAATGTAAAACTGACTAGGAATAACAAATGTCTATGAATTAAGAGTAACAGATGTAATAAACTTGAATAATGTTATCAGGTGAAGTAACAAATGTGAATGTAATCAGGTAAAGTTACAAATGTTAACATGGTTGGCTGAAGTAACAAATGTTAATGTGAAGTAACAAATGTTAAAGTGAAGTAACAAAATAATAACGTGTGTTGGATCTGTTTTTTAACTATTTGACTTTGTGTGGTTCATGGCATTGAAGTCAGCTGTGAAAGATATCCATATGGATGCAATTCAGTGCATGAATCTGATTCATACTTGCCATTTTCATCATTATCCGTTCAACTTTGATTTTAAAAACAATTATTATTATTACTATTATGGAAATGTTGTTAAATTTTTAAATCAGTAAAATATAAATGTTATTCTGTGGACTGGACTGGTGTGCAATTTTATTATTTAATTGAGGGAAAAAGGTATTATATTTGTATATTTCTTGTTATTGTATAATATTTAATAATTTATATGATGATTATTCTTGAGTGATAGACTAGATTATCAAAATGTACATGTAGTAAGTGATTTGATGTAATGTATAGAATTCCATCACTACCTCTATGTCTGGCCTGGATAAATATAGCTAGTTTTAATAATCATGTCATAATATGCCTTGCAAGAGGCCTTGAAAGGGCTTCCATACCATGAGACACTCAAATTTCCTCCATGTTTTTCTAGTGACCTTCATCTCTATTTTACAGTTAAAATGGCCCTCAAAAACAATTGGCATTGCAGCATTAATTAATTCGCTAGACTAGGAATTATCATTGAAATGATTGATATAAATAGGTATTGGCCAGTTTTATTTTCTCATCTTAAGACATTTCTTTATAGAACGTGCCTAGTAATGTGCAGATTGTGATTCATGCACTCCAGATACATGTAAGTCTATCAAATCCTGCAATACAAAAAATTGTGCAAAATATTTTTGCAGGTTTTGATTATTGAAATATTTGTTTGACTGTCTAATCAAGCTAAAATTTATTATTATACTGCATGACAGATGTAGAATGAATCTCCTGCTACACAAGAACCAAAATAATATGTAGTTTTAATAAGATTAGATGTCACTGTTATGAAAATCAAACACAATCAATCTTAAACCACTATTCACAAAATCGAGTAATGAGTACAAGCTGGCATGGAAATAATGATTTTATTTGTACCTGACAAAATGTCAAGTGGAACACATTATATAATATAAATATCAATAAAAATGCAGAAAGGCGATAAATCTGTGCCAGCCAACATAATACCAGAGGAACTGTGCCAGACAAGGCTGGAATTTGTTACTGACATTGGTCTGTGACAGGTGCCTTATTCCCTTATATTTTACTTTACTAGAGCATTGTGGTGGTTTAAACTGGTAACATCCATAAAAGACCGTTAGTTAGGGTTGATTGATTTTTAATTAGCCAATTGTAACTGTACATTGAGAGTACATAATTGTACTTGAAGATCACTGATGAGCATGAACAAAACTAGAGTGATACATGTGAATAATTTATTCTGATATTTGGTTATGTTGTGAAAATAAATTAATTAGGATTAAACAAACTACTTCCAATGTATTATAAACTGTGATTTTATTAATAAAACCATTTATTAGTTCTCAACTAATTTTTCTAGTCAATGATCATTTTTATTTATGTGTAATAAGTTTAAAGAAGCTAGCTAGACCTCTGTGATTTAGGTCAAAATAAAGTATTGAATTGAGTTGATCTCATGTATTATTTTGATTAAGGGGAAGTCGGTTTATTACTAATTTTAGTTTAAATGTTTGTTTTCTGTGTCGACAGTGTAACACAATATATGTTCCATCTCACATTAGCTTTCTCTAAAGATGTAACATTTTCAACAGATTGGCATTTCAGAAACAAATTAACTCACATTGAAATCAACAATTACATTTTTGGCCCAAATCAAAGAGGTTGAGTCATTTTAAGTTTAAATTTGTAATTTTAGAACAAATTTACAACATTTTTAGCAATCACTGCCACAATAATTGTGGAACAATATCGGAATTTGTCCATCGACGAGTCTCTATTGCTTCCATTCTCTCAACAGACCATACTTATTCAACTATTTACATAACTTAATTCTGATTTATAATAGTTGTCATGAGACAAACAGTAATGGCTATGGCCATCAATAACTTCAAAATATAATAAATATTTATTTTATTTACATAACATCAGAAAACTATGAATTATTGTTTTCTACATTTTTAAATGTTTTTCATACGCCCACATTGGAGTATATTGATGTCATATTCCCAGACTGTCCGTCAGTTGTTCACATTTCTTGTAAGGTATACAATCTGATTGAAACACAGATCCTATTTCGTTTCGTTTTGTATAGTTCAAAATTTCATTTTACTTGCCTTTACCACACTAGGATCTGGAAGAGTTGTTATATAATCCTCTTTTTGTTACGGCGGGTTTTTGGCGTGAGGTGCACAGAACTATGGCTAACCCGCTAGAAACATCAACGCTGATTAATCAAATGTCTAACATCATAGGGTCAAAAGCCACTCATATGACCATGACCTCTGAAGCAACCTTCCACTATAACCGGTCAGATCTTCATGTAGTAGAGGCCATCGAAAGTATAAAAAAACGAAACGAAGTATAGATCTGAATTTTTCTAGCAGATTGTAGCATATAAGATTAGAGGCCACAATAAAACATACATCTTTGTGTCTTTTGTCTCTCTCATTGAAATAAAGAAGTCTATTGATTATCACCTTCTGAGATATGCTGTCCCTTTATTATGAAATGGTGTTAGCACTTTATAGGCTGCAATTATTTCTAGAATTTATAATGGTTGACTACCCTGTAGAAAGGGTAGTCTCGGTTATCCAGAACCTCCTAGTTTTCAACGTAAGGAGGGTCTGGGACCGTTGTCAATATTTGACGAAAAGTTCCATTGCCTATGCGTAACCGGGAGTTTGTTCTTTTTATGTGGTTGATTATTCAGTATTTTTTACAAGTCAAGTAAGAATCGTGCCCCCTCCCGCAATAAATCCCACAATTATTGCATTATTATAAACAAACATGAATCGTGACGACAAATTAGAGTTAATTAAAAAAAACAATATTATAGATATGGCCCATGAAGAGAGAAATTTTACAATAAAAAAAATTAAGAGTGTTGGATATTGAACTGGCAATGCAGTCAAACGGATTTTCTGAAATGGCATTCATAAATTAATTTCATGGTCGTCAACATCTTGTTTTAGGACTAGTTACCTCCCTTAGACTTTGTTAATGATAATGTGAAAGACCAGATAATCTAGCCAATGACCTATTATTCTCAAATGTTGACAACGTTTCCAGACTAATTTATATTCGTAGAATATTTTTCTGGATGATAGAGACTATTGAAAGGGAAGAATCCTTTTGATTCTCAACAAATTTTGATGACTTCCAGAGTTATTGACTTTAGTTATGATCTGATCTTTCGAAATGCTTATGAATTGCTTAGTTCACCACAGCTCAGACAACTTAGGTGGGTGCATGTTTCATTGTCTGGCAACCCATGTTTATCATGGTGATACCCCCCACCACCATTAAAATGTTTTAAAGGTACGAATTTGACTGTATAATTTTATACTATATAAATATCGACATATTAATAGATTTTAATTTGTAAATAATCTCCATTGTTTTATTTATTTTATTTATTTAATTTAATTTATTTCAAAGATAAAATTTTTAACAATAGAAATTTACTTGAAGCATAAAATAATTTGTAAAGGCCTGACACTAAAATAGAACAAACCATATCATCTCAGAATCTCTCATTAATTAAGTTAGCTTGTATTTAACCATTTATATAACTTGGCATAATAGTTTGAAAGATTTACAATGTTAGCCCTGATCTTGGTCTTCTCCTTGGTCCTCTAGAGTTACCTGCACTTGAGTATAGGCTATAACTATCTTATTATTCTTTGAGACTAAATGCAATGGAGTTTAATAACAAACTTCTATTATAGTACTTCTGTTCAGCTAAAGCCAATCAAAGTCCACTTCCTCACCTTTCCAATACCTATAGCGGACTGGAGGTGAAGGCCAAAATCTTTTATTTTTATTTATTTAAGTTAAAGCAATGATTGGTTGTATTATACAATATTTTGTAGTTTTTAGTATTTCTTCACGGTCAGGGACTGTATTTATCAAATTAAATTTAAAAAAATGAATGAAAAACTGTACTGCCATCAACAAGCAAATTAGCTCAGTTTGTGTGGAGGTTTTCGCTACTTTGTTTAATTGCAATGGGGTGGCATACCCTAATCGTATTTTTCACTTGAACATATTTATTACCTGGGTTAATCCCACTGTATTTTGCTACACCAAATTTAATTGGTTGTTGTGAATGAAGCCTATAGGAGACTTACTTTACACCAGTTCTTGGAAGTTTCCTTGAAGATATATATAAGAATTTCTCAGGACTTTATAAATACAGCCCCTGAATTCATATCTTCATTAATACATCATTTTTAATACCCTAATCATAGTTAATTTGGTAACTGGTTATTAATATTAATATAACAAATAGAAGACACTTCCTCTAATTTTTTAGATAGACTTTTATGAATATTTTATTTTAAAATAAATTTATTTATACTTGTTGAAGCAATCTCACATTACATAATAGTTAGATGGAATCTCATATATGATTTATTTATGTTTTATTACATTATTTTTACATTTTTCTGGTTAGAGATATATAAGCATCGAAAGAGGTTTAAAAAATGTATATACTCGTATTTAGAAAGAAACAAAATTTTCAATAACTCAGTGCTTTGGACTACTCCAGGGAGAAATTATTCTATGTGAGATGAATTCAGTGTTAAAAAAAATTACCATACAACAATTCGGTTACTAAAATTTGACATCTCTTTCTCTCTCTCTGTGAATTTTACAAAAATAAGGCTGATAAAGGTCATTGATTCATGTAATTGTTAAGAGCTTCTTAAAATGTATTTTTTACTTTCAACCATTTTAAAACTTAAATTCATTCATGCATTCCATTTTTTTTCATTCATTGTTACTTCATTGTTACAGTAGTTTGTGATGTCATCAAATGTTGAACTCATATACTGGTGATTTCATAATGAAATGATATCATCACTTCTGTTAAATAAGATATTTTATGTCATTTTGCAAAAACAAAAAAACTATTAAAGTATGTTTCCAAAATAAAATGCTCTTACTTGATGTTTGCTTTCAGAATATATTGTTTGGGTTTTGGGTTTATGAAAACTGCTTATTTTGCTAAAGCCCAGTTTAATGTGCATGTATATTGTCATCACCAGCATCCATCCACAATTTCTGTGACAAAGGTACAGGTCTTCAAATTAGCAGGAATACATATTCTTTCATGTCATGAGGAAGAATCCTATTGAAATTTAGAATTTTTAAAAACATCTCCACATTATATTCTGACTTACGAAAGGGATTTATCATTCTGATCATATTTTGACTTCTAAAACTTGTCAACACTATACAGTTCTTAAAAACTTTCTGTGACAAAGGTACAGGTCTTCAAATTAACAGGAATACATATTCTTTCATGTCATAAGGAAGAATCCTATTGAAATTTAGAATTTTTAAAAACATCTCCACATTATATTCTGGCTTACGAAAGGGAGTTATCATTCTGATCATATTTTGACTTCTAAAACTTGTCAACACTATACAGTTCTTAAAAACTAAGCGAACGTGTTTAGTGGGAACAAAGGAGTAATTATCTTGAAATTCAAAAGATTTTAATGATAAATGATTAAGTTTACTCCCCCCTACTGTAAATATTGAATGGAATTGAACCGTTTATGGGCTTGTATTCCTTTTAAAGATTTATCTATCACAATATTGTATTAAGAATCACTCAAAAGAAGCCCAGAAGCATTAAGTATAGAGGAAAATAAATAGTATATTATCTAAAGGGGCAATATTCTTTCAATTAGGTCAAACCAATTTAATTTTTAGTTATTTTGTGTCGTGATCAATAAATAAACCACTCATTTCTTGTGTGCAATGTTTTGTTAAAAATTTCAAAACATAAATATTTGGAACTAAAAACTTTTGAGAAGAGCAACTAAGGACTTTTTGTTTTTATCAATAAGACTTTTTCTTGAAAAAATTGGAGTTAGAATTTTAAATGGGTGTTCCCCAAGAACAGAGATTCAATTTAGTGTTGCCTTAATATAAATATGCAGATATCTTTAAAGATGCCTTCCTGTGATTAATTTGATATTATATTTGGACTAAAAGCATATTCAAACTAATTTAACTATCAAAAGATTGATTGTTCGTACTTGGTTTTATTTTATTTATCTCAAAACATCGTAATTGGAAGAAAACTACCCCAACCTTAAAGTCTATTTTAAGCATCCTAGTTTATCAGGTGACTTGTTGATTAAGGGAAGGGCCCATTTTTCAGCTTGTACGATTTGCTGTTACTGGCTGTCCAATCATTTGGACAAGTAAATTTCTGGATTATCCTCTGCCAACTTCTTATTCTGTGGTTTAATATCTGCAGTATGTTTAAGTTTTACTGTTCTTGATTCCCCAGGCTAAATCTATTTGTTAATGCAAGCTCAATCTTTGTCAAGGTCGCTGAGCAGGGGCGTACATAAAGATTTTGTTTGGGGGTGGGGGTGTTCAGCAAAAATGCGACAGATGTACATGTCCCTAATATGAGTGACGCAGTCAGGGGCCGAGCACCACAGATGATAGTTTTCTAGGGGCCAGTAGCTGATCTGGAAGCTGGGTATAGGTGGTGGTGTGGGGCGGTTCCAAATCTAGGGTGCCATCCACAATCACATTCCACAATGAATGTCAACAAAATACTGGCTATAACACTGGGCGTCCCGATAGAACATAGATCGTAATATCGGTGTTGACTGGAATAACCAGACACTAGAAACGGACTTGTGGTTCAGACTTCTGCCGTATTTCGCCGAACATAACTGATGACAATTCACAGTAAAACGGACACGATTGATTGTAAAACAGTTCATATAAATTCATATTACATTATCATATGTATTGCGACCCATTTCAATTTGTGCCAATTTCTAGGTCCAAAATATTAGCGATTTAGCTCCTTTAAAGATTTTGTAGGTATTTCTGAAACAAACTATGCTTCCGATAACTTCTTACCAACTGTTCGACTATATGTTATTGGTATGACAATCAATAATATAATTTATCAAAATCTTCGTAACAAGCTCTCTCAATTTCTTAGACCAATATACTCTATTTTGGCATTGTTTTCCTCATTAATTCATTTAGTCTGAGACCGACTGCATTGAGCACTTATTTTGAGACCGACTATGTGTCGTAAGAAATTTAGGTGCACGTATATTAAGTATTTGAGGATTTTCCCTTCTATTCTGGCATTATTTGTTTACCGGTACTTCATTAATTCATTTCGTCAGTCGCCGATGCATAATTTTGAGACCGACTGCAGAATTAGGGTAAACAATTTTTTTTCAAACATGATAAGTTGACAAGATTATTTTATACTAAAGTTTTGGGTAACGTATGCAATTTAGGTGCACGGATTCACGCAAATACATAAAGGGGAACCCACAATCTGTTTCTCAGAGGATTACGAAAGTTTTCTAGCGGGAATATTCACTGCTGATCAGTATGGGGAAATCCAGTGACTGAAGGGAAGCAACTCCACATATGTTTATTGGATAAAGACCACCAACTCTATGTAAATCGAAATCACAACCGCCAGAGCAGTTTGTACATCGATCTCGGTTAAATGTCTGATTCATTCGCCTACGGGCGTGATTGATTCTTAGGTGTCCTGATATCGATTCTTTTACTTACATAATGCTCACTTCCAGACATTGTCTTTCATCTGGTAACCGAACGTCATACAGGGAGGGACATGATTTTAACTTTGGCGATGAATTTGTTTTAGCAGAGCTTGAATTTAAAACAAAACAAATATTTCTTCAACCATTCACCCTTTTTTTTTACCAATTGTCTTTACGATCATTTTGTGACAATAATGTTTTGTGATGAACTGTCAATCTCATGCACGCGAGATTTGCAAGTGCAGACCCCAGAACAGGGGTTTAAAAAATTCTGTGGAATTCCTGGTTACTGTCCATATAAAGTGGCAATTGGACAGGAGGCCAATAAACAATACCCCTTATTTAAATTAAACAAAAATTAACGCTGAACACTATTCATTCATATGATAGTAATTCAGATGATTAAAATCGTTTAGATAGCATCGTGGCCTCGATGTTAGTTGATATCAAGGTGTTATCCTGCAAACGATTACGGAGAAATAAGATGACTGTGTGAAATCAATAGAAAGTAATGTGAATTTTAGACTGCCGCTTACATTTAGTTAATATTTCTGGTGAGACTCCTTTTGATTGTGTATTATCTGAAAGTCTATATTTGCTGTTTAGTCGGGAATGTTGGGGGTTTCATTGTAGATTGAAAAAACAAATAAATATATTTCAGTACAATTGTATCATTTCTCTTTATAAAGTTACACAATATGGTGGGTTGTGTGTTTACTATAAGTTTCTGTATCGTAGTTTATATATTTGATTAAAAAGACTCGGCTGGAACAACATCTGCAAAGATTATGTTACAGTGGCTGAAAACCTCCATTTCTTATAATATTCGCCTTCTGTGTATGGTTATCGCATCTTCGTCTTCACGTTACAGCAAGGATATAAATAAAGCAAAACATAAGGCAAACGTCAAATATTCGAAGCTAAGAGCGCTTCGTATCGTTGACACTTTCTCTTATGTTTGCCGTATACGACCGAAACGTGAAGGCGAAATTGCGACAAACTTCGTATCTTTTGAGGACATATTTTCAGCTACCATAATTATACTATATTTTTACAGTTTCAAGTTTAAACAAATCTTCAATTTTGAACCATCTCTTCTTAATCAAGGATGTCAAACCATTTTTGACAATTCATCCAACGACTGGGACATTATCTACATTGTTAACCTCAATCCGATAAAATGAAATAGAACCGGAAGCTTGGGAGGCAACCATGACGACTGTTTTATTACTTGGACTCTTTGAAGCAGGAATTATTCTGTAAATAAAAAAATACAGGATAATACAACTAGGATTATACATGCTGTGGTTAGGACACTTGAACGTCCTCGGTTCGAATTCCGGTGGCGGCTGAGACAATTCTTTCGTTATATTTCAAGCCCGATCCCCGTGCAATAATTATTAGTGCATGTAAAGCATCCTTTGACACTTCGAATTCGAAGGAAATTGAAAAAAGAAATAAAACTTGATTTGAGTTAATGAAATATGCACACTAGACATGGCAGTATCCATAACACCGTTGTAAATACAGTGCAGCAATTAATCCCTATGCTTTGTCTGTGATTATCTTTCGACCTGTGACCTACAGAAAACGGACTGGGCATCGTGACTATTTGTTAGGTTGTATATTTAATTAAATTATGGCGTGTGCTGAGGTTTGGTGATGCTCGCGGCAACTACATGTTTGTATGTCCCGATCCCCGCCAAGACTCAAGTAGGAGGCTTTGTATTTAGAAATACATGTATGAGAAAGGGAACATTTTAAATTTTATAAATAAGGTGGAAAAAAACTTTTCATTCAAACCAAATAAGACAGCTAATAACGACAACTTCAAATATTAATATTGTTTTCGCACATTGATTGGATGCCGCTGTGAAATGGGTGACCGGGCCATATCCCCGCTCCCCACCCCACTCTCTCTATACGCTACTGCCCTAAAGGCTAATTAAATTATAAAAACAAACTCTGAGATACCAGTATGTGGAAACCACTAGTAGTGATTGTGTCATGTGGGGAATATTATGCCTACTCTTTCTAGAAAAAAAATAGCTCACCTGACGTCACTGATATATCCATCACCAACGTCATCTTGTAGATATGAATTGGCGAAGAGTTCCGACTGACTTCCTCGTCTGTAGGCGTTCTCAAAATAAACATTGACTCCCGAGCTGGTAGCCTTGAATGTGTAGAGATAGAGTATTCCTGTATTCTGGGCTGACACTACTAAATAGTTAGTACCATTATCACTAGCTACATCTAGAGAATTTACAACCGGTCCCTGAAAAGACGTTTAAAACAGTTTATATGCATCAACCAGATATATATTGATGACTAACTGGGATAAACGATATAACCAGATTGAGACGTTATTATTAACCAGAACAAGGCGTCATATCTGCAGTAAAACGTTTTAATCAGAACAATACGTTATAACTAGACACACAGTAAAACCATGGACCGTGTATAGATGGACAGGCAACGTCCACGAAGCCTTTAGAATTCTGTTCCGCGGCAAAAAATAGACCGGACAATCGTGACTAAAATAAAATTACCTCCTTACTTCGGACGCGCCCATGTGAATCCAAAACCAAACCTACTAAAACACTCTTTTAATTTTTACTTCTGCACAATTAATCATCATTCCGGGCAGTATTATACCTGAACTTTATTTTTATACATGCGGGAATTTGGACTTAAGCAAAACCAAAATGCTTACAAAAACTACGAAAATATTGAAATCGATCATTTCAAAATTTTCAAAGTTCTAAACTGGAAAAATTCGTCACTACCGGATAGGAATACTTATCGGATTGAAAAATTACTATGTAACTATAAGAATACCGTAAATTCTAAGGAGGAGAAATTAATCTGTATAAAATCCCACAATGTCAAAAATCACATCGCTTGATTTGTCGTTGACATTGAGATCTCGTCGTGTCTCGCGCGAACGGCAGAGAAACCAACTAACGGGACTCGTTGGCTGTCCATCTATATACGGTCCATGGTTATACCTACACTAAGCTGTTTGAGCCAAGACGTCATAACTACATGTAGAACATTATTACCAGAATAAGACGTCGTTATAACTTACAGTAGAAAAAGTATAACCAGGACAGGATGTTATACTTACAGTAAAACAGTTATACTGGTTTCGGACCCATTAGCTTAACTCTCTAACTCAGTGGTTCTCAACAAGTGTGCCGCGGCACACGGGTGTGCCGCGAGATCTTCCTAAGTGTGCCGCGAAATTTTGAACGGCTCACTAAGAAGATTTCCCACTAAAGAAGTCAGCTATTTGACTAATGAAATTCGAAACACTGCAATAAAGTAAGTTCATAGCTGTGTTTTTGTTTTAGTTTGAGTCATTATATGTGTCTACGACTAGTCTGTGTCTACGGTTGTATGCCGTCTATGACTTGCCATGTTTTTATGTTGCAAAATTCAAATATTTTCATATATATTTAGCCTGGTGTGCCGCTATTCTTTCATGTGTTCTAAGGTGTGCAGTTGGCAAAAAAGGTTGAGAACCACTGCTCTAACTCCGGATATCGGCACAAAAATGTTTTGTTAAAAATGTTTACTCAAGTTATATCACGTATTCTAATAAGAGTAAGTATACCCTGTCCAAAGTACGAAGTCAGTTAGGCTACTACTTGCTATTCAAATGTGACGACAGTTAATACTTTGATTTTAGAAGCCGATATTGACGAAGCTTACTCACCATATCGTCCGAAGTTGAGTCTTTTAATGATTCTGGAGAGTTTTGATCAATACCACTAATGTCGGTATTGAAGACGTTATAGAATTTAGTAGTAGCAGCCACTTTTTCTAAATGATCACCACTATCAAATAGCAGTTGCAAGTTGGAAGCATCATAAATGGAGAATCCACGTCCTCCAAATGTATTAATCTTATCAATACGCCCTGTAAACTGAGATATGCCATCAATCTGACTCACGTGCAGACGACCTGCAAAACATTAGTAAATAATATAGTCCTGGGTTCTGGCCGACAGTTAATGAAATTGACTATGGGGTCTATATTGTAAAATTGGATATTTCAAATAATACCTAAACACCTTTATTTCAATTTCGTTTATCTAAGGTTTAGGTGAGACAATTCTTCGGGATTTTACAGTCGGTGTTTTCCTTGTCTCGTTGGTGCAGGACGGGAAGTGGGTGGGGTGGGGGCAAAGAAGTGCAAGGAAACGCATCTGGTCGTTGAAATAAACGAAAACCGAGGCCCCGCATATACCAATGATAGCACATTAAAAATAGATTATAGTCCGGTTCAACGTCCTAAATTTCTGCACCACTGACAAGTGGGGACCACGTAGGGAAATCCCGATAAACTTTCTGGGCCAACACTGGGATCAAACACGGGAACTCCAGATTACCCACTTAGCCACCACTGCTCCATAGAAAAAAAGAAAAAAAGTAAGACGTTCAACCTCACTAAACTTTTCATTTTCTCACATCAATTTAGTTCGAACTGTGATTATTGTTGGTATACTAACCTAAATGACTATCTTGGGATAGATGTGATATAAGAGTAGCGTTGTCAATACTGACCGTATCAAATCTTCCACCTGCAAAATGAAACATAAAAATCAACGACGCCGAGGGGGTGGTCATCGTTGCTAGTGCCGGGGCTTCGATTCCACGCCTCTGCTGAAAAGGAGACGACATACCTGTCTAAACTAACCTGCTAAGTTTTCTCTTGTCTCTCCGATTACCTTCAACTTTTAAATCAAATATGGAAATAAAATATACCGGATGTTGGTCTCAAATGATCCGGTTTGTGCTGAGGAGACCTAATCAGTAATGTAGTAATGTGAAGAAGAATGTTTGTAACAGCAGTTACATTATCTTTGCTACATTCTGGTGATGTTTACTTGTGGGTGTTATTCAAGACTAGTAAACCTGGACAACTATGAATAAGAAACCCCATCTCTCGATATAAGAGATGGTACTATATAGCTTTACCTGGCAAAACCCCAATGCGAATTACATTGGGCTTCAAAACAACGATTAATATTTTTATTTATAACATTTTCCCCACATACAACTACATGTACAATTAAGCATATAATCCTACTGACACGGGTGCAAATCATCTCTTTTGAATCGAAGCGAAAACAGCCGGCATTTTAAATTTGGCATCTTTGCGTCATGAAGGCGGGGCTAAAAATATGTCATGTACAATAGCCAATCACAATACGCAAAAAGGATGACCTTTATAGTTCGCAAGAATGGCCTTGTCAATTCTGTTAAAAAACACCGCTTGATAACTTTACTGACAATATTTACAGTTGATTCATTACATTAGGCTGGATAAATGTACTAGTAACTAGTCCTACTAGTATAAAATTACATTACTTTGAAAATGTTTTAATAAAGAAATTAAGTTTACCAGTTGAAACTAAAGGCATCCAATCGTAGCCAAAAAAGAAGCACATCAGCCCTCGCTTACCTTTATTAGGTTGAATTTAATACATTTTACGAACCATGCGATTAATGGGCGACGTTTGCTGTGGTTATTTATATTACAGGTTTTTATTGTGAAGCTAAATATGATCGCTGGCCAATCAGAAGTTTAAACAAAGATACTGGCAAGGGGTCGATTAATTCATAATGTTTAGAGGAGATTCAAACAGCGGGCGAGCACTTAGGAAGTCGCCTAAGACGCCTGACGCAGTATGAGCCGACACCCTAATTTGATGACTACCACCACCTTGTCATACGTACCCGCAGCAAGTTGATCAGCACGAGCAGCATGTTCAAAATTAAAACCATGTTTCTCTGATGTATAGGTGTTCATAACACCTTCGTCAGCCACGAACAGCAGAGTTCTTTTACCAAGCTTAAATGCTTTAACAGCACCAGGAAGCCGGTGGGAGTAGATAGGATACTGACGAAGATGAATACCTGGAAAACACAAAACATACTTCTAAAAGTATGCAGCGAAATGTACAACCAGTGGCGACTTTGTCACCTGGACTGTCAAACTACAGATGTGCTCAAATGCACGTAAAAGAACCCATGGTAGTTTAAATTCGATGCCCGGGCAAATATCACTCTTTGCAGACTATAGCTTATTCCCGTCTTCATTAGCCCAGTCGGTGCAGAAAAGCAGGAAAAATGAAATGAAATGAAATGGGGTTTAACGTCCTACTGTTCTGCTCCTAAACTGGGCTAATGAAGACGGGCATACGCCATACAGAGTGCAATGAGGGAAATTTTGCCCGGGCAGCGGCACTACGGCCTACTCTTATATCGAATTCCAACTGTCAAGGGATCTTTTACGTGCACGCCAATGTGTACACGGGACCTCGGTTTTTCGTCCCATCCGCACGACTAGACAGCTGTCCTTGCCAGGCCCTCCGTCCTGCATCACTGACGAGAGGAAACCACGCCAGAAAATCTGGATGAACTTTCTCGGCCAATGCAGGGATCGAACACCCGACCTCCAGGCTAGCGAGCCAGTGTCTTACCCACTTAGCCACCGTGATCTCCTAGAAAAGCAGGACGTTTTTTTTTTTTTTTTATTTGTTTTTTTTACAGGGGAAAGCGCGAACGCAGTCCCCCACACTAAGAAATTACGTACTCGAGTCGCCCACATTTGGGGCGATCGCAGGGGTCAGCCAAACCTAGGTGCAATGGAAAGGCCTCACCCTGGGAGGACCGCCTTGCGGATCACGGTGCCTCCCGTACCAGGTAAGCACGTTAAAGCTTTAGGGTTAAATAAGTGTTAAATTGAGCTAAATTTGGTCAATGTGTTTAGTGGGGCGACAATCAGCTCTCATTGAAGTTTGTAAATCTATAGATATAGCAAGGGACTAACAAACAAAACTAAAATTAGTAAACAAGCCGACGACCGCTTTAATCATATATAGATTACCAATCATTCCTCGAAACACACCATATGAACTTTATCTTTGCTTTAACCGAGAGTAAGTTCCTTTTATACTTTGACCCAAATCAGTTATGCTGATTAAGGCTACTATAATTTTCAAAAGCAAGAATACATCTTGAAAATTTCGCCTTCTTCTTGGCAATATAGTTATTGATAAAGTAAGCTCTCGGGGTCATGATAGTCGATTGACGAGAACATTTCACTTACCACCATCTCGATCACTAGCATCTAAACCGATGTCAGTCCAATCCTTTTTTGGCAGTGGAGCCAAAATATCAGCACTAAAAGTCTTCAGGTTGATTCTTCCTATAGCATCATTTTCCTGTTTAAAATATTCGTGAATATTTGGACTTTGGTTTCAGAAGCTGAAGTGACTTGAAGTGAGTAATCACGTGGTAAACATAATTTTGCTAACAATTAGATACACTACGTCCGTCGATACATAAACATGTAGCTAGTTTGGGCTTTAGAAATCGAAGCTAACTTATAGAAGGGAATCTTGGGACAATAGTACCAACAGAGACAGTTACGTCTACGCTTTGAAAAAAAATGAAAGATGTGCACATTTTTGTTACTAATGCAAGCTACCATTATTGAAATTGTCGTTTTTGACGATCAGGACACGATGCTCGGGGCTTTCATTTTTTAATACCCTGACTGGCGACCGCCCTATCGCGACCGATGCCACAAAGATATTACACGAAGTTCAGAAAAGCTTACCTGGAAGGTAACATAAGCGTATGAAGTGTCTATAGATGTGATGTATTCTGGTTCTAATTCTTGTGCTACTGTACTTCGCTGAGGTAATACTGCTGTTGGTATGGCCCGGCCTGGCATTCTTACATCCTCTCTGATATATAATAAATAATAGAGCACAACCTCACATTCTTATATCCTCTCTCATATATAATAAATAACACGATATTACATACTTATTATCCTCTCTCATATATAATAAATATAAAATAACACAACTTCACATTCTTATATCCTCCCTGGTATAATGAATATAATATATTATAAACCTGTAACGGTAAATCTCTTTGATCTTTGGGGTATATTCTATGCCCTGAATAACTTGAGGTCTGAAAGTCGAGGGGAATTTGGGGTTATTCTTCTGAAAGTTTTTCTTTAAACCTGTAACAGGTTATTCTTCCAGGGTAGGTTTTTTTTCTCCATAAGAAAACATGATCTAAGGTTTTTCTTATGGGAATTCTGGCATATTCTCATTTTGTGTACATGTAAACATAGACGGTTTATAAGCAAGATAAAGTCCTCGACTTCGGTTATGCTGGGGAAGAAAATCTTCAGAAAAAAACCCTCGACAGAAAACCATCGGCCTGCCGGCCTCGGTTTTTCTTTTTCTCGGGTTATTTTCTTCAGTCTTTCTTTCCCCAGCATAACCTCGGTCTCATGCTTTATCCTACACGTAAAACCTCACATTCTTATATCCCCCGGTTGGAAGCACATTAAAATGTACCTGTGGTGAATTTTTTGGTGGTGTTGTTTCGTGTCTATAAATAGTCTCTCCTACATTAATTAGCCTAAGCGTTCATCCTATCGACTGCATGACGTCCAGATAAAGCGTATATATTCATATTTAAAATTTTGGATTTATGATTCAGTCAAAAAGAAGCTACTGGGGAGAATAGAAAAATGCGTTTTTCATGTTCAGATGTTAACTGACCGACCCAAAATTATACCAGGACAAAGCGCCAATATGGATTTTTTTTTTGTGGGGGGGGGGGGTAGCGTTTGGAAGTCTATAGTTGCAATTTACTCTGGAATATGGTACCTTTAGAATATATATGCGATTTATCATATTATGGTATTTAGCCATTTGTCTTACCTTTGATTGAAATTGTTGAAATCTACAAATTTTTCTACGGCATTACCATTACTAAATGTTAGTAAGGAAATAGAACCTTCTGGATCAATATATCTCTTAAGGTGATCAACACCAGGTGATCCTTCATTAGCAACTATCAGTGTTTTACAATCTGGTGTATATTCTATATTCTCAGGTTGCACTCCAACTAAACAATATATATTCACAAATGCTAGTATAAAAAAAGCCTTGGCAGTTGGACTTCGATATAACAATCAGCCACAGCGCCGCTATCCGGGCAAAATTTACCTAATAGTACACCTTGGCGTGTACCCGTTTTCATTAACCGCGGAGTTGAACCGTAGGAGTTAAACCCGTTATTTATTTCGTTAGTATTAAATATGTGTACACTGCATTATCGGCATTAAGACTATTGGTGTCCCCCGCCCCAATCCCCAAATAAATCGATGACACTATTAATTTATCTTGTTGTTATGTATCAATAATAGAACTGCTTATACTTAGCCTAAGCAGAAAATACTCATGATTGACAACCTACCAATGGAAACCCTCGATACACAAAATTTCATTATCACCATTCTGTCTAATCATGGTGTAAATTAGTCGTATAATATGCTTTAGTACTCGATCGTCAACATGCCCAGGGCGCGTCTCTGTTAATAGTGAGAAATCGAATAAACGGAACGTCAATAACATCAAGTTCAGACTGGAATGGGTATATCATGACGGGGTGTATGATTAACTTACCCGTCACTCTGTTCCTGTAGTGAATGCTGTTTGAAAGTGGATCATACAGATCAAAGAACTGAACATGACCTTCAAACACTGAAATATCAGCTGTCAGCGATACTGACACCGTGTTACCACAGACCTCAACATCACGCGGTTCACCATCGCCGACCTGGAACTCATAGTTTGTAAGTCTTCTAGGGGCACTGGGATTGGATACGTCAACCACGTGAAGTAACTTGGAACCAGTTCCTGTAAAAGAAAAAAAATCCAAAAAACAGTTCGTCGAATTGGTCAAACCATGGACCGTGTATGGTCGATGGTGATACAATGAATTCTAGGTGGCGCCGGTGGTAGTCAGAATTTTGGCTTATTTTAACAAAACAAATTTAAATTGCATAATAAAGAAAGAATAGTGACAAAATTAAATAATCGTTCCGAATAAATATTATAAATAGCATACTGTAATATAAATTTTGTCACTAATATTTGAGTAAAAATAGAAATCTGAATTAAGGTACATTATATCAATTAATGGGTATATCATAGGCCAGAAACCAGAGGATAATTATTTATTCCCCTTTACACATGCACCCGGGGCGAGTGAATGACCGTAGACCCCACCCTAGAGCTTCATCGTATTCATCGTTTTACACGTCTCACAATAGGGGCAGATAAACACGATATATTTGTTTCTTGCTTAAATGTTCCAAAACTCATGAAGTTGTCTTACCTACGACATAGAGAATAGCGTTACTGCTGTCAAAAGCTGTACTTTCTACGGTTTCTCCAAACATCTTGTAAACCTCAGCTGGGCGAAGCTGGCTGGGTAATCTCAGATATCCAAGTTCACGAAAGTATGACAAGGAGCCAACATGGCAGACTATCAGAGCTGCCAGAGTTAGTCTTAGGTACATCTTGCCTGTAGAAAAAATAGGGATTAATTGGAAAGATTTACATGTATATACGCCTCTAGATCCGTCGCTACTCTGTGATCTATACTATAGCCGATTGGAAACCGAAACTAGGCGGGAGAGAGCAACACAAGTGCAATGGCCGCAGTAGTCATAAGCAGAGTCACCAGTCCATGATTATAATACGACAGTGCAATAAATATATACTAAGCAGCAAAAGAAATGTCAGGTTGGTATGTTACTCTGAATAGAGGCATTGTATAAAACTTGTCAAATGTTTTTATTGTATATTTGTGACCACATTGAACCCACGAAATGTTCTCAATAACGCAACCTGACTTCTGAGATGGTAATGTGTTCTCAATGATTTTCATGTAATTCATGCTGCACGGGCTGTTCACCGGGACCAGCTCCATAAAATGCACCCCCATACCTGGTTGAATCATTCACACTACAATCATTCACACTGGCCACACTGCCCAAGCCGTTGCCAATCACTTCCAGGTCAATGTTCGGACCATCTACAGGGTTCAGCAACGCTTTCGGGCCACCGACACCACGGATGATCGCCCCCGAACTGGTAGTCCAAGGGTTACCACAAGGCGCCAAGACCGCCATGTTGTGCGACAGCACGTGCAGAATCCCTTCACACAGGCATCTGAGACAGCACATCAGACAGTGGGAACAAACGGAAGATCCATCAGTACCGATACAGTGGGCGGACGTCTCACCAGAGAGAACATCCATTGCCGTAGACCTTACCGTTGACCGATCCTCACCCCTCGCCATCGACATGAACGTCTACAGTTTGCCAAACAACACCAGAACTGAGAACTGGCGACACAGGCAATGGAGAATATGGCGTCAACGGAGCCAGCGTTTTTCTGGCCAATTATTATTATTATTATTATTGTTCGATTTATATAGCGCTTCATTACACATGAAGTGTTTCTAAGCACATATCACAAACATTTACTTCAAACACACAGAAACAATCAAAATCAGGAGAACATAATTAAACACAATTAAACACAGCTGCCTGTTAGGCGCTATTATTCAAAGGTTTATATCCAATAAATCAACCGGCTAATCTCTATATTGAACTCAGTCGAGGTATTACCTGATGAACACCTACACCAAGTAGAGTTCAAAAATAAAAAACGAAGTTTAAAAGAATCAACTTCATTAACAAAAATTAAACAATCAAAAACTAAACAGATAAATCAAATTCAAACGAAACAAAGAAAACAAAGAAAATGAAAAGAGTAGTTCATTACCATTCTACATTAACAAAATAAAGGAAAACAACTTGTGAAAATTTTTCAAAAAATAAGAGCAAAGTAACACTAATGTTAATACTTTTTTAACGAACATATGTTATATAAAGTATTAATTAGACATTTATTCACATGACAAGCCAATAATCAACTCGTATCATGCTGTTACCATTGTTCACATTTGTTTGTGGACACTCTACAGGTCACAATTTTTATCCAATTTAGATGAAGCTTACAATGTATGTTTATTTCCCAAATAACTCGGACACATGTCGAACCTTAAATTTCTGGATTATTACCCCTGATTGTACGTTCATGGGAGGACGAACTCCATCAATAATCAGTGCTCCACAAAACTCTGTTCCGGAGTTAACCCCTGAAAACCTCCGAAAAGCAATAGAGGCTACAGTTTTTCAACAGATTTATATCAAATGTGGTGTTCCTGAATCCCCCCCCCCTCCTTCTCCAAACACGATAGGGGCTACATCTTTTAACAGATAGGGTTTGTGTCATGGAACGAGACTCATGGGGAGGTCCAAGCATAATGGTTTGGGGGGGGGGGGAATCGGCCTGAACCAGAGAGTGGGTCCTGTGGTGTTACAAAATCTTGGTCCAATGAGAGGAGGCGGCATCACAGCAGTGCGCTACATCGACCAAGCTCTTAGACCCCACGTTATACCACATTTCGCACGTCATTGAAACTACGTTTTCCAGCATGACAACGCCCTTGTCCACACCGCCAGAGTTACTCGGGACTTTCTACAGCAAAAAGGTGTCAATGTTATGCACTGGTCAGCCCTTAGTCCGGACTTAAACCCGATTGGACTTTTTTTGGGATGAAATTCAGAGGAGACTTAATAACGTCGTACCGAGACCAAGCACAGCCGATGGATTGCGCCAGGCCTTTCTGGGAGTGTGGTTCTAGGTGCCAATGGCGTTCATCAATCGTTTGGTCCACTCCATGCACAGACGCTGTGCTGCTGTTACTGACACTCGCGGTGGACACACCAGATGCTGATGTATAGACTGTGTACAGGTTCTAAACCTTCTCGTAACGTCTTGGAATTTTGATGAATTAATCACTAATGTGTCAACATACTGTTCACAAAAAATTGCTTTGGTCCATTTAGTAAGTCGTTTTCTAGAATGATTTGATTAAAGTTCCTTTATGATTTTGAAATCGTACTGGCGTTTATTTTTTTAATTTTTTTTTTGCTCTTTAGTATATTATTAATTAAATATAAGTTAAATGGGCATTGTAGGAGATTAGATAAAGAGCTGGCAGACCTCACTTTAATAGTTACAACTTGATAATGTAAAGGGAATGTGCTGAAAATTTCAGTCAAGGTGCTCCACGCTGAGCCGAGATATTAGCGATTGAATTTTAGACCTAGCCGCGATCATCATTATTAAAGTCGGTACGATAAAAAAACCTAATCTCGATTATCTATTTTTGGATTAAATCACCAATGAGCATTGAGCGGCAGATCGGATTCAAATCCAGTAAATATTGCAGGCTAGCAATGACATCGAGGGTTGAGTATGGTCTGGATAAGTTAATTAATGTCTAATTAATAATTTGGATAAAATTTCAGGTCTATAGAAAGACCTGCAATAGGCAGATTTACATGTAGCGCTTGCATAATGTGTGTTTAAAGGGCGTGTAACTCTATTTTATTTAATCCTTGAAATATACGAAAATGGTCATCAAAGCACATATTAACGTAAAACGAATGTATGTAAAGTGATTTAAAATAATATTTGTAAAACAAATATTGTAATTACGTAACAATTATGTTCGATGCAATACATGAACAGTTGAAATAGAACGGCAGGAGTTTACGCCTGATTAGTCCATTCTACACGTTTTCTTTTATTATTATTTTGTCGTTAGTAAATTAGTCTTTACTAATTACTTCCACATTGTTTTATAGGATATGTTTTTATTTGTTCATTACAAAATGGCACCCGAAACCATAGAATACACGACCCATGTACTGATTATAAAAATGTTAATTGTGTCTTACATATTGGGCATTAGGATCCTATATTTTCACAAGATAACAAAGTCCATATTGATTGAAATTGACCAAATGATGAATTCCAATTCGAATATTATGGAAAATATTGAGTTGGAGACTTAGCTCCTACATCAAATAAATTGTAAGTCGTAATTACCTGTTCAAGAAAGAGTAACCATACCCTGCAAAATACACGTACGAGGTTATGCTATCGCGGGGTTATCTTCACGGATCTTGTGGTTTAGTTGGACGAGGTGTCCGTGCAGTCTGTCGAGTTGCACTCTCGATGTTTAATATGTAACCGGTCCACAAACATTCGCTACTCTTCTTCGAATTCGAATTACCATGGTATTTTTTACTAACACTACCAATAAGTACAAGTGGAATGCAGGCGTTTGTCGAGCCGCGGGCATTGTCGATTTGCCTGCATGATGTCGCGAAGTGCACGGTTCGTACTGTATATCATTATTAGACCTATTGAGAACTGTATTGTAAATTGTATAGGTCTACAATTTTACTTGCAAATATGTCGAGGTTTAGATCTCTAATTTTGTAACACCGAACTAAACCGCGACTCAGGATTTCAGAACTGTCAGACTCTTTTTTCTAGCCAGGTCAGCAGGAGAATTGGCTGAATTGCCCGGGGGGGTTACATGAAACCTCCGTTAAGTTCCATTCTATTGGTTTATAATTATAAAAGACTAGTTACTACTTCGTTACTGCCGTATGCTACATTGTATATACAACTAATATGATAATAAGGCTTTTCCCCTTATCGCACAATTCTAAATGAAAATAGTGTTGGAATTTAATAAATTTGTGTCGGATGTGGCAAGAAATGATTCCTTTTGGCGATCAAAAAAGAATCACGATGAAAAATAGACGGTAAGGATTCCAAAATAGCCTTAGAACCGATGTGCGGGAAAAAGCCTTATTTTCATATTAGTTGTATAGCATTCGGCAGTAACGAAGGAGAGAGCAGAGCCGATACAATTCGTTACTAAAGTAACTATTAAAAGATTAACTCACCTGCGTTTTGTTGTGGGCAGTATATTGAACTGTAGACAGGATTAATGATTGTTAAATTGATAAATCCGAGGGTTCAAATAGAGATAAGACCCGGTTTATAGCAATAGAGATAAGACACCATTCTTATAACATGTGGTCTGCTCCCAGATGATAGACTCGCTATATAGCACATGTTTGAGAGAGAAAATGTCCAAAAATAAAGAAAACACTGAATCCAGGGAGAAAATTTGATCCCCAAACGCAGACTTGAAGAGTTTAGCTGAAGGTTCCCCAATTCCACGAAAAGGGCCTCTTTGACATCAATGCAAGGGACCCAGTGTCATTGTCCAGCCTACTAAGACAAATGAGTGATGAGCTATTGAGACCGCGCGTTCCCATCTTTTATCTGTGAAATGAAATGGGGTTTAACGTCCTACTGTTCTGTCTTTCACCATTGCCGTTGAACACGGGCCAATAATATTCGAAAAAATGCGTCGAACCACGGTGGCTCGGCGAATAAGGCACTAGCCCCCTAATCAGGAGGTCCCTGAATCAATCCCCGCTTTTGCCGAGAAAATTCCCCTATTATAGTTACTGGTGCGAAGTCGTTCGTCCTGATGACACAAAATACCGCGGTCTTAATCATAAAGGATTATCTCTAGTATCGTGTTCACAAGCTTTTCCGAACACATATAGAAACTCCTAGATTGCTGACAATAAATATGGTTCATCCTTTCTGATTTCAGTACTCAAAAAGCAATAGGGACAAACGTCTCACAGCCCTAATGCTTTGCACCACATTTGAAAAAGAAATCGGCTAAAAATACAAAATCGCCGGCCAGAGCAGTCAGTGCATCAAACGTACGTCATGAAAGTTTGATCTTGTTAGTAAGGAGCGAATTTCGCCCAATTTCTCAAACACATACAAATTTTCACTTTACAGATACAAAATAAAATGATTTTTATATATGTGTTCGATATACTTCTATCTTTATTGTTCTGTTATCGTAGGGGTGGTAGAAAATAAGTAATAATGGAATAATATACATGTACTATCTACTGAACTCAGGTAGGTGTCGTTATCTTATTTTGTATTACTTACATAATAGACTATATATAGATTAGATATCTATATTCGTACACAAATAGAGTACCCGATAACTGTCTGGTGGAGATCCTGTTCAAGTTGTCTCGCATGTTCCTTTCCCTGGCTGTTGTTAATGTTTCGCCATCCCAGGTCAGGATTTAGCGAGGGGGGGGGGGGGGGGGTAGTGGCTGCCAGACGTGCACCAGGGCCTATTTTATAGTTTTATTGACGAAGGATTATATACCCAAATAGTTTAAGGCGTGATTCCAAACTAATAACTATTTTATTAACAAGAACTATCTGAATCAGATCAGTGATGGTGTATATGTTTTGATATGTAATAAAGGATAGAGATTATATCATGGATTATTATATATATTGACATGGTTATATATCACAGTTATAAATCATATATGATTATCATAGCGCTTTATCATTAGTTACATTGTTATATATACATTATTTATATAGAAACATTCTATGACACCCTGGAACTACACAGCTACTAATTTACCGTCTTCATTAGCCCAGTCGGAGCCGAATAGTTGGACGTTAAACCCCATTTCATTTATCAGAATAGAACTAATAAATGAGTATTTTTGCAAAAGTAATGGCTACTAACTTTTTACTCTATTTTACTATAATGGTTTGCAACCATGCAACGTCTATGGGGATACATGAATGTAATCGCTATGTAACTGGTGTTACTGGCTTCGTAAACCTTAACCCATTAATATATCCACAGTTGCAAATAATTTTGTTAGAAAATAGACAATCAATTGCATCACCTTGATAACTTGAAACAAACATGATTATAAAACTAGACAACAGTTCATTTTATACTGGTTTGGTTACATTCAAGTCATATCTTCACGATGTTTTATAATCTATTTTGTTGTTTATTATTGTAATTATTGTTAATTATGGTAAATAGATTATTTCATTCTGGTTTAAATCTAGAATTGTTTTGTTACATAACATGTTTTAGCAGAACTTTTCGCCTTTATGTATTTTTAAGCAGCCCTATCTTCATAAAAGAAGCTGATAATCATTTTTTGAAGAGCTAAAAGTTGGCATCAAGTAGGCTACCAATGAAAGCAGACATAAATTCAATCTCAATGTTAGGTGGCAATGCAACAGAATAACAAATGACAGGACAATCTAGACTTACTCATGAACAATTTGTTAAGTGTGTTTTTAATCACCAACAATTAAGCCGTTTGGGACCAAATATTTTTCTTTTGGAAACATTATTCAAAGTAACTATTTTTTTTTAAGGAATTCAATGAAATTTTGCCGATGAGCACAATTATGTGTCCTCCTGCACTTACTATTCTATTGTCCTTAACTTTAATGCAAGATTGCAAGTTTGAATGAAAAAGAAAATGTTAGTTAAAATAATGGCCAATGGTTATATGAAGGATAATAAACTTTTCTTATTTTCTTCAAGAAGGCGGGACGGGGCGGGGGCGGGGGGTATAATGTAAACGTAAAAAAAAGACCGGACGTAAAACACTCCAAGAATGTATACAAATTATGTTTGGAAGAGATTGCATTAAAATAAAACACAGGTGACAATTGAAAAAGCTGTGGAAGTTTGACGGGATATATTAATGTGTAATTAATAAAGAAAATGTAAATTAATAAAAAATAAAGTGGAATATAGTACATGTATTATTGGAGTGTCCTGTTTAAAGCAAAGATTTATTTTATTTACGCTCTCTTTGTCCCCATGCCGGGAGACCGAGCAGGGTCTCGTTTAATGTTTTATTGACGAAACACGGTTTCCGGAGATGGAGGTTTTTTGATGGGTATTTCTCGCCTTGGGTTCCGACAAAATTTCCAAAACGTGATTCACGATTTCCCACACAGAACTTGATAAGCTCAATTTAGCCTCCCCCATCATTTTTGTCAGCCCTACTATGTCAGAATGACCTTTCTTAAATCGTGACCAAAATAAAGGCTCACCAGAAGTGGAATAAAAGCTTCCTGGATTATCACTACGCTTAGTATAGCCCACCTCGATCTACCATTCTGACTTACTATTTTATTTAAATGTATTACTAGCAATTGTATTGTAATAGTTTCATATCAATCTCAATATCCGCCAAGATTCAGGCTAAAATATTATCGAAATGTAAGCGAAATTACCGTTTAGGAACGGGAGACGCTCGAGGGAAAATAACGCTCTGGCGTCACGCGACCGGGGATTTTCCATCAACGCGAATTGCTACGGCTCACTTTATTGGTAAATCCGAGCTTAGTCAATTTAATTTGTATTCCTACTTTTTATCGAAAAAAACAAACAATAGAAACTCGACAACCTCTCCTGATAGTAATGCTGTAAATATTGGTAGAAAACAGTGTAGAAACCGATTTGACCGTAAGAAAATCTTAGGGTAAATCCTATCACGGGGAGTCAATGCAAACCGTGTCCAAAACGGTAATTACACACCAGGAACCATCTCACACTGTCACACCGGCTTCCACGAACATGCTACAAGCCAATAGCCTACGTTACGTAGCTGAATTAGATTTAGAAACCCGTAAATAACAACAAGCAAATAAATGATAATAATACATTGTGTTTAAAAACGTTCCACCACCTTGAAACATGCTAAATTGGTAAACATACGATCATTTTACGCAGTTGTAAATGACAGAAATCGAATCTGCACCCCGAAAACATATATTGACACCAACGACGACTACTTAAACATACATTATGCAAGAGCTAAATCTGCCTATTGCAGGTCTTTCATTAGGCCTCAAATATTATCTAAATTATTAATTAGACATTAATTAACTTATCCAGACAATAATCAACTCTCGATGTCAACGCTAGCCTGCGATGTTTACTGGATTAGGACCCCATTTCCTGCTCTACTTTAATGCTTTTAACGTATATTGCAAATTTCTCTTGAGGACCTAGTAAAGATAATCGGATATAACGTGTTTATGATAAACTTAGATGTATTGTTGATAGTGGGGTCGAAAGAACTTATGGATACAGGTGAGTTAAACATCAGCCTTGGTAGATTTTAAAAAAAATTGGCAAAACAAAAATAAAACATGCTGTCTTTTTTATCAGTCCATAAACAGATAGAATGAATTGACGTTCTTGCTATGATAGTTAAAAAATAAATTGTGAAAAAATGATTTTATAAGTTACATGACATTTTGTCCAAAGGACCCAAATACCGGGAACCGCAACCATGTGCATGCTAAATCATGGGCCAAGGGGGAAGATGTTATCTCTGATACTCTCGCGGTTTGTGTGTGTGTGGGGGGGGGGTGCGAATGGTTAACATGTGCGCGCTGTATCATAAGGTCTGTCATTGAGTCAACAAGGAATATGGTCGGCCGTCCGACCTAGTGGGTATTTTCCGGTTCCTCCAATTGCTAAAGACCCCTTCTTATAGATGTACATGTAGTTAATAATTGTTTACAAATAAAATATTTCACCATTCCTTGCTTTTTACTGAATGTGTATTTATTGGCTGCTAATTCCAATTGCATAATGCAATTTCCCCTGGAAAACTTCAGCAACGAATACAGTTTTGCATGTCATTATTATATTCTTTAATACATGTCTATGCGTTCTCTAGTTGTCGAAGAAATACACCTTTAATGAGTACACTGTTTATTCATGAACAATCGGAATTTAATGCCAGAAAAGGAATAGTAGCATTTATTTCATTTCAGCATTGATCCTCACAATCCATTCCACAACAATTTATGATGGTCTAAACAGCAAACACCCTTTCCTAATTAATGCAGTCTGGCTACAATTAATGTATTCTTAAGAATCTATGTAAAAGGAATATTTTCGGAGAAATATTTTCGGAGGAATAAATCAGCTGTATTTTTTATCATGGCTAAACAAGTTTTCTCACAGGCAAAAATAATAATTGTTCGTTCGTTTCTGGAGTTTTACGTCTACTTCCACCAAGGGTGATATCGTAGACAAGTAAATAATAACCGCCCGTAACCAATAAGTAGAGCTTACCCATCTGTTTTTCTTGGAACTATAAACATAGCTCAATCTCCAACAATACAGTTAAAGATACATTCCCGCGTACAAACTGGGTGATTTGATGATATATTTTGACTAAAAACATATTCAAACTAATTAATTTATCATTTTGCTTCAAATCCTTCTCAAAATATTGCAATTGCCAAGGAATACCCTTACTATAAATAAAATCGATCAAAAGAGGTCATGTTTGTGTCACGTGACTTAGCTCTCTCAGTAGGGCAAGTCGGAGGAGAATTCATTGCATACACAAGACAATGTTGTCTTTAATCGCTAAGTATTTATTACAAATATCGAAGCCTAATTAAATTCTCGGATTACCCACTGCCCAAAGGTTTTCCGTGGTTTTAAACTCAGAAACTGTTGTACGTCTAACTCTTCGTAAAGTTTATCAACATGTACATCAAGCGCCCAATCTCCGCGTGCGACCTTTGACGTCACGCGTGTAGACACTCCTAATCGTCGGGCTGTCGATAAGGGAAACCCCTTGCAGTTTTGTCCTGTATGCGCTCCATGAGTGTTTTTCGGGGCATCCAGTATTTTTCTAGTAAGATTGGATGTTTCTACTTTCCATATATACCAAAATTGCCATACTTGTATTGGAAATAACCACCCGATAAATACTTTTCTGGGAACCTATCTTTAACAGTACTTTCTTACCTGGCGTCCACATAAGATACATGTAACGGTACCGGCCTTGGGATATTTCGGGCACTGCGCAGAGTGCAATTACAGTGAAAGGCCTACCCGTAAATGAAAAGGTGGCCACGCGGAGCATGGAAATACGCCCACACAGCAGCTATGTCTCGACAGTAGCTTCTCCGATAGGAAAACCTGGATGTTGGTCAAATTTGTCATGGATGCCTTCAAGAAACCTGGTCTCTGCTGTGGTCGTCCTCTCATGCCTGGACTGCTTCACACCGGATTTGACATAAATCCAATGAAGACTGTAGCCTCTATCATGTTTACATGGTTTTTGGAACAGGGTTCATCCTCTTATGACCATAATGCTTCACACCAAACATGAAAAAAATCGTCAATAACCTTAGCCTCTATCCCTTCATAAGACAAATGTTGCCGGACATACAAGGCCATGACAGTGTCACGACCAAATACGCCCATCTTTCATGGCATCTAACGTTTCGTAAGTGTAACACTATTACACCAAAGATATTTGAAGCAAAGTAAAGTCCTAATACCCATGACTTTGTTTTAACCACTCCTACTGGTGTCACTGTATCAAGTTTCTTATGACTTAGATCCAATCAAAGTTCATAGTTCATGTTTTTCAAATGCTTTTAGATTTCCCTCTATTATTTAATTTTTTATTTGAATTCACAAACTACGTGTGGGCGTATACAAATTTGTTTAGATGATGAAGGTAAATTTCGGTGAAATAATCTTTCCATTTTGAGTTTCGGGCAGTTCAAGAGCTATCTCACTGGCTGGAGTTTCTTATAGACTCTTTTTATTATAAGCTTTATCTACTTTGTTGAGCAATGCCCCTAGACGACCTATATCCACTCTTACGTCTGATTTTCTGCCTTCAGGTAACATCGGCAACCTCCAGTATGATTGTCCAAGGACTTGGGCTTGAACCCAGATAATCCCATGTGCTATCCAAGGAGGTCCAATCTGACCATTGTTTTTTGTTGGCATGATTTCAATTACGCTGGTTTGCCGAGGAGAAAATAGTATATTATACATAGCTCCACCATGTACACCAATGATGATTCGTGTCCTTTGAAACAAGGACACGGTCTCATTAAATTTTAACCCTCCTGAAAATATCTGGACTCCGTCAATACCGTAGCGATTTATCACAAATTTTTCAACCAGATCAATATTTAGCATCCTTCTTCCTCCATTATGTGTGTTTTTGCGTTTAATTAATACCACTAATGTTTGATTCATAGGTACCATCATATTAGCTGAAACCCCTAATGCTTCTCTACCAGATAACCACAGTGCAGGATGTATGGGCGGGGCAATGCACGTATTAATCATTTTTTTTACTTTCGTTGGGTTATTTTCATAAAACACGAGTCTATCACGTGATATACCCAACTTGTGATAAAAGTCATAAATTAAAGTATCGCGTGGTTTAAGGATTAGAAAAAACACGTTACTATTGATAACATAATCATACACCTGCATTAATTTGGGTAAAACTCCGTCTATGAAATGTTGAAAGGCGTGACTATCTGGGACGAGAAGTGGGCAAATAGTTCCATTTAAGAATTTTTTCTCATTTCCTTGATAATCTGCTAAATTATTTTTCCAGCCACAATCGAGCTTCTCGTAAGCCACTGCATTTTCCTGAACAGCAACTATTCCGCGTAATCGTATATCCGGGATTGCTTCTAGATCTTTCACATAAATACTGTTATTCAGAAAAAGCCACCGATCAGCTTCAGTTGAGAAATGGGGTTCAACTAATCGGAAATTCTTATATCTGAATTCTATTTTTTTTTCTTTCTGTAAATGTTGATACAGTGAACTGTAGTAGTTATGTGCCAAATAGTCCATCCCCAGTTTCCGTGAAAAAATAAACGCGCTGTTTTTGAAATACTTATCAATTGCTTTGGAGACTCGTAATATATTTCCAATATCATCTGGGTTGCTTGAAGGCTTAATCTCGATTAATGTCACTGTGGGAATAGTATTGAGGTATTTCACGCATTGTCCGACCACATACAAGGCCATAACTAAAGCAATAGTCTTACCGGTTCCACAGTACGTACCGGTTCTTAGTCTTATTCGCCGACAACACACCATGCTAAAACAGAAAGAAAATATTCATGTGTTTATGAATAAAACAGATATAACAATAATAAAACGATATAATGTTTTGTGCACTGGTCATCATGTGCATTTTGCATACGGAAAGTCCATTTACTGACGCTATTCTAATGGTTTGGATGCAGGTATGGCGGGTGTGACGCCAGGCATGGTAAGCTTACTCTTCAGGATACCTGTTACCACTGTCAAACAGGTATTTTGTACACGGTGAACAGTCCATTTGCCGATTACACTATTTTGCTGATACCGTTTTTTAGGACTTCGAATTTAGTCTAATGGTTTGGATTTTTCGTACTTGATTTTTTTAATTTATATTTGCCTATAGCATTCCGTCAGATAAATGAACCTTTCTTCTGTGTTCTAATATAGTGATTATTGTTTGTTGCATGAAAGGAATAATATTACGAATAGAAGTTCGCCCTCCTTCACCACTTAATTGTATTTGGTGTTATTTATATATCTTCTGCGGGCTATTATCAATCAATGTTTGATCTCCATTGTGTGTAATTACAAACATAAGGTACATAGACAAACCATGAAACAGGGACCAAAGGAGTATACCTTTAAGCGTATTTGGCCCAAGAAAGAGTATTGGTTAGTCCTGGTCGAATGATGCACTATCCGCAAAGATTTAGTTTTCTACCCTTACTAATTTCTTGGTATTATCAATTAAAAGTCCACTTTCGTTCATCAAAGTTGTGTGAATATGAGGGACAAAGCCTTGAATTTAAGTTTTTTGATATTTTCAGGATATACTTAATACTTAGAGTTGATGGTAAGGGAGGGGCAAAGCCCTGAGTTTGTTCTTGATATTGTAAGGACATTCTGAATACTTCAGAGTTGTTGATAAGTGAGGGACAAAGCCTTGAATTTACGTTTCTGACATTGTAAGGATATTCTTACTACTTTAGCGTTGTTGGTAAGTGATGGTCAAAGCCTTGAATTTAAGTTTCTGGTATCGTAAGGATATTCTTAATACTTGAGTACTTTGTCTACCCACGGCCGTTCAACTATATACAGGTATTTGCGCCTATACAGTGTTTGAAGAAAAGTAACTACATAACACGGCTTCATTAAAAGACCAAGTCTTAGTGTAAAAATTAGATCGAGATTCAACAATTAAATTTTCATATTAGGGTATAAAAATTCTGCATTTTTTATTTTAATTAATTAGAAAGTTGTTGGTATAGCTTTTGTTTTATTTTTGTTGGTTTTTATTTTATATGTGTGTGCATTTTTAAATAACCAAAAGTGACCATAATTGGCATAATAGTATTGTCATTCTGGGTGCCATAAATCCATGAAAAAGCTACCATTGTTAGATGGACAAGAATAAGCAAAAATCAAGTTAATCTGTGAAAACAAAATAAGAGTTATGTGTAATACTATAGGGGTTATTTTAAAGGTGCTGTTTAATATATTGAAGTGATTGGACAAATGGGTGACACGAGAACATGGCTAAGTAGGTATTTTGCAAGATTAAACTTTCAGGGACTAACTCACTGACAGTTCCTGACACCATCAATTTCTGGTAGTAGGTTACTGTCCAAAATGGTAATTGCCCCGCCCTAATCGCTGACGTAGCTAAACCTTTGATATAAATTAATCAGCACCATCAAATTTGCTTGTCTGCGATATCACCTCGGTGGAAGCGGACGTAAAATACAACTAACACACACACAAATTTGCTTTAGATATCATTCAGTGTTCCTAAAGAAGACAGCATAGAGGGATCCTAGATGGACGTTTAGCCGCATCGGCTTAGAGGTCGGGATACCGACATTATGCAGGGTTCTTAGGACGTATACCCTCAGCCTTTGGTTCGAGGCCGGGATAGAGACAATATTATCTAGTGTTTCAGCCGTTAGGTCTGAGTTAGTTCTAGACTTGTTAAACTCAGACTTTAAATATTACAATAACTCATAATGCACTATCATAGATGTTGTAGTTTCTTGTATTTCATATATAAACATAATTATAAAAAAAAGAATGTTCCAGAGTTAACTAATAATAAATTGATCCTTGAAGTAGTTTATATACAGCGTGAAAGTCTTGATTAGGGAAGTGCCACCATTGTGTCAAAGTTCGTTTCCTGGAGATCAATGGCCAGGATAGTGTCACACCTAATTTCTTTTTCGTGTCACGACATAACCTAGTGTCACGACATAACCCAATAGTGTTACATATGTACGATTGTTCATCTGATTTTTAGACAGTATTTCCAGTTGGAATCGGGAGTAAACCCTTACTATAGTAGTGGTGTAACATACTATGTCATTTTCTTGATAAAAGCGAATACATCCTCATCGAAACGTTGCATAGTAATAAATTAAAGATACATTATGGGAGATTAGATAAAGAGCTGGTAGTTCTCACTATAATAGTCAAAAACTAGATAATGTAAAGGAAATTTGCTGAAAAGGGAGATTTTAGCGATTGAATTTTCGGCCTAGCCTCGATCATCATTACTAAAGTCAGTACGATAAAAAAAATAGTCTCGATTATCCACTTCATAATTAATTTATGAATGGAAGTCGAACAGCAAATCGGAACCTAATCCAATAAACATCGCAGACTTGCGATGTCATCGAGAGTTGATTATGGTCTGGATAAGTTAATTAATGTCTAATTAATAATTTAGATAACATTCGAGGCCTGTTTAAGTGTTAAGTGTTAATATGTTCACGTATCATACTCCTCAATAATGTAACATTTCTTACGGTAGATACTAAGAAATGTGCCGATGCATACCCCGTATCGTGCACAACACCCTTCACTAGCTTAAAAAGGACGATGTCGTAGAGTACGAATAGCTCTTGATTGAAGACAAAATGCTTTTTTATTAGGACGATTATTAATTATGATGAGTCATGTCAAAAATCTTCCCAAAATTTATTCAGCCAAGATATGAAAATAACAACCTTCAGCAATTACCACGCATATATTACATTTTAAATGCACGTCCCCATTTTGAATCTTAACACAAATCTGAACCGGAAATAAAAATGTCAAAATTTAAACCCTTCAGACTTGTTTGTGTTTGTGTCAAAAACAAAAAGATGGTTTGGGGATATTCGCTGTAACCTCATTTAAATATACATTAAGGTTAATCGAAATCGAAGACAGTATGATATAAAAAGGTCTAGTGTTAGATATTGTCCTGCGTATATAGTCGTGATTGTAGTAATGTAGATTTCTAAGACACAATTACCAAAATTTATATGGAACAAGCGGATGGCCCGGTGCTGTAGTCCAAGGCCACCATACCTGTGTTACTAATTGGTCCGAGATACCATTCATTATACCCCAAATTTCAGTCCCAGGTACATAAAAAAATGTAAAACAACACTTTTTATCAGAAAAGTGTCACGGTCGTGTGCTTTATCCTTTATCATCAGATGGTGGGGTGGGGTGGGCATTCCAAGCTCGAGATAATGATATTGAAATAATTATGTGATATCACAATCAATGCGTTGCATTAATGAAATTAATTGACCCACAATGTGATCATATTAATTCATAATAAAAATCGACGTCAATAGCGGTTCATCAAAAAACATTTGGAGTCATAATTGTGGAAAACTCTATTTTAGGCGCTTTTGAAGTTATCTGTTCCCCGGCGTATTGCAAAAAAAACCAAAAAAAACCACGAAAAAAACCCCCCAAACCCCGAATAGTTTATGTGATGAATTTTCTTGATATATTGGTGATTGATATCAAGTATATAATATCAAGGTTGTGGACCATCTAGGTCGCAATTTTTATCCAGTTTATGTACGATCTCTGTTCCTTTCGATATTCCCACATAACGGACCGTAACTTCCTGGATTAAGCCCCCTCCCTCTCCCGGCTGTACAAAGAAATCGCGACTTTAGCTTGTTGACCCGCTAGAGGTCTCAATTTTTATCCGATTTTATAAATCGTTTAAATATATCATCGTTACACCCTGATGATGATTGTGTTCGAAATGGCCGCTCCTTGAACGCAAATTGTGTAAAAGTATGTAATTATAATACCAAGGTTGTGGACCCGCTAGAGGTCAAAATTTCTTGTCCGATTTTGATGAAACTTAAAATATATGTTTATAACTCAAAGATCTCAGTTCCTGTTGATATTTGCACATATCAGACCATAACTTCCCGAATTATGGACCCTGAATGTAAGAAAAATCACATTTTAGCTCGTGGATCCCCTAAAGGACACAATTTTTATCAGATTTTAAAAACCGTTACAATATAATTATCACCGTTCCACCATAATGAAGGCTGGGTTCGAATTTCGGGAAAATCGAAACGAAACTGTCCTACAAAATGGCCGCTCCTTGTACGCAAATTGTGTACATGTATGTAATATGAAGGTTGTGGACCTTCTAGGCGTCACAATTTTTGTTCGATTTTAATGAAACTTAAAATATGTCTTTATATCTCATTTCGAGCATTTTAGACCATAACTTCTTGGATTATGGACCCTGATTGTATGAAAAATCGCGTTTTTATTTAGCTTGTTCTCTATCCAACTCTTGCAAAATGTGGGCGTATCTAGCTGGTTGTTTTTCTAGTTTGCTACCTTAATGTTTTCTGTCAAAATCGTGCAGAACTGATTTTATTGCATATCAGTAAAACTATTTTGTATGTTTTTATGTAAAATCCCAGTTTCTGTGTTTGTCAAAGTGACCTCTGGTTACACCAGATATACGCCAAAATGACGATAGAGATCATGTGAAATGAAATAAAATGGAGTTTAATGTCCTACTGTTCTGCTCCGACTGGGCTAATGAAAACGGTACCGACCATGTATTTCTCAAAAAAATTAAAGGCTGGGGGGACAGACATGACCCCCCCCCCCTCCCAACCCCCATCTCCACCCCCCAAAAAAAATTCATGGCAATATATGGATCCACCCCTGCTTTATACTCCTCGCAGTGTTTCGTTTGATTAGACTTAATCCCACTCAAACACTGCTGTAATGAAAGCAAATTTCTGTTCCAAATTATGACCTGTCAATAGTCCGATTAACAACCAATACCTAACTGCGTAACAATATCATTCGGGTTAAATAGAGCTTCAGAATATGTTTACATAACCTTACGTCATGACTCACGAAATTTAGTACGCCCAATTAACATGTGCAAAGTAGAATATTGCAGAAAAACTAATTGCGAGACAAACGAGGCTACAATGTAAACACTACTGGAGACGAACAATACGACAGTTGAGTAAAAAATATTAGTACAGATGGAGTCACTGGTTGCTAAACAATAGCGACATATTTCGACAAAAGTTATCACATACTTACTTGATTTTGTAAATGTCATTCAATCAAAAATACTGTCTTGTATTCCGTGATCGAAACATGCACATTTATTCTATATTTCATTATTACGTGTTGGTATTAAACATTCGCGATGACTACTAAGGGTTGTAATAATCACACCTGGTCTATGGAGGGCTTTTATTTAAACCGGTTTTATTCTTGACTGAACAATAAGGTCAGTATTTTGAAAGCTTTAGTAATAATGTAATATAAAACTCTATATAGTTTCTTTACCCATTCACACGCAGGGACATTCAATGTGATTATCGTAGCGTTACTTGTCGGTCGCACTCGCCAAACCTCGACAGTTTCTGGTACAGGGAATAAGTGACAATTCATTCATTATAACAGTAAATAATTAAAATATTCCATAGGGATTATAATAATATGTATATCATGTAGGTGTGCATATCTGATACGCTGGGTATTAAAGGGGTAAGGAATAACTGAGATTTTGTTTTTATCTGTATACTGGATGATAAATCACCTAAATAAATGATTTAGTTTGTATATCGACCACAATTTTTGGATAGTGCAATCTCGAATTTGGATAAATATTTCACGTCGACCGATCTGAATGAATATGCAAAACTAACAGCTAAGCTTTTGACGGGTATACGATGTGGATATCTCCGGATTTAGATTATGAACTTGCCTTTTTTAAGCGAAACTATTCAGGTACCTACATCAGTGAATTCCATGAAATATTCAAATCAATGAGCCCTGATGTTCGGAAGATGTTTCCACAAGTTGAACGATTACTTCGACTCATTCTGATAAACCCAGCTAGCTCGTGTAGAGCGGAAAGATCTTTAAGTGCCCTAAGACGCCTAAAGACTTGGCTACGCAGGACGACCAAACAATCGCGATTAAACCATCGCAATGTTCATAGTGACCTGCTTGAGAAATTTGAACCCCGAGTTATCGCGGAAAAATTCTTACAGAACAATCCTGATACAAGAAGAAAAGTATTTGGACGTTACAAGTGATCCGGATTGCTCTTCTGGTTCTTGTATAGCTGTAATAATGTATCGGCTTCTTTCAGGGCATACGCAACAAGTGATTGACTCTTTAAACCTTTGAGTAAATTATAAATTTCTAACATAACATCACCACTGTCACATTCAAAATAGATAATATAATACAACTGGTACTATGTGAATCATTAAAATAGCTATGGGAACAATATAAACAGCTAGATTTAACTTTAAAAAAGCGAAAAGTTATTATTTCAATGTGGTCGCCATTTTTGAATTTTAACGTGGGAAAATTCGCCTTTGCCATCGAATTTTTAATCACCAATGAATAATACAGTAAAATGTTACATTTATTTCAATTGGGATTGAATATTGATATGTTTAGCAGTGTGTGTGGCTTGTTTTAGTTTATATAAATTTAAAGATTTGTAGGCCTGTACATTTGTGTATCAAATTGAATACACATTTTGCTCAAAGACTTTACGTAGTCTTCGAACACTACTAGGAATGGAGGCGGAGCTGCAATCTCAGTAGTGTAAATATTTCTAGTTCTTGTAGTGTACACGAGAGAATAAATCGTGAACGGTGGCTTGAAGATTTGTCTTTAGATTAGATTTCGTATCATTTGCTGCCTCGGGGATTAGAATTGTTTGCCAGAAAATGATGCTGAAAATACCCACAGAGTGCGTTTTAGAGCGTCTAGTTTTCAAAAAATTTCGGGGGAGCACCCCCCAACCCCCCTCTTTACCAATAGTCGCCCGCGCATGGACTGTCCCCACCACTAATTTTTGGCGAATTGCGCCCCTGGGTCTGTCGAGTGTCTCGACTGTATGACGTTAAGTGATATGTACCTACACCTATATAATTACGATGCGGCATCGGTTTAATTATTAGGAAAACTTGCCGCTTTTAGAAAGAAGTTCTCAAAATTGCGTCGTTCGAAGAGTTGTAGAATTTTCAGTGCAAAGTCGTTCTTGTCTAAAGAAAATAAGATAAACTTGAAAGAAAACAGATTCAGACTTTGAAAGCTTTGTATGATATAAAAAAAAAATCTTCAAAGGCGTCGTCCTGGGCAGCGCCGTTTGTAATCCGGAAACTTGAAAGTAGTTCCAATGGCGGACTTCGTCATACAGCCGAGGCTAGATGTAGGGTACTGGAATCTGCTGAGGTTTACCGAGTGATGTCGGTCGTAAACTAGAGAGTTATCTGATCTGCTAAAGTATGAGGCGGACTTTCACCCATAATTCTAACTCCTAACCTAGTAATGCGAATGCTAATATGCTTACTTCTAATTTTTTTCTTACTAACACATGTTAAATTGGCTATTTACACATGTAAAAATGCTAATTTATGTGACTTTTTTTTTTAAATATTGCAGTTAGAATTGGTATTTTGTTCTATTTCTATTATTACTTTATTTGTTGTAGTCTGTTTTGTTTCGTTAATATTTTTACATTTCACAAATGTTACGAGATAAAGGTGTCATCATAGAACTACTAAAAAGGAAGTCCGACTGGTCGTTTATGTTATAAATCGCATGCGCGAAATGAAATGAAATGAAATGAAATGAAATGGGGTTTAACGTCCTACTGTTCTGCTCCTAACCTGGGCTAATGAAGACGGGCATACGCCATACAGTGTGCTATGAGGGAAATTTTGCCCGGGCTGCGGCGCTACGGCCTACTCTTATATCGAATTCCAACTGCCAAGGGATCTTTTACGTGCACGCCAATGTGTACACGGGACCTCGGTTTTTCGTCCCATCCGAACGACTAGACAGCTGTCCTTGTCAGGCCCTCCGTCCTGCATCACTGACAAGGGGAAACCACGCCGGAAAATCGGGATGAACTTTCTCGGCCAATGCAGGGATCGAACACCCGACCTCCAGGCTAGCGAGCCAGCATCTTACCCACTTAGCCACGTGATCCCCGCATGCGCGAAATAGATGTACCACAACGTACTTCCGGTTAAATAAAAACCTGAAGAAATGAGTTTCGGTTTGAGTCCAGTGAGCTTCGGAATAAAATAAGAACAAAGCGTCGTCTGCACAACTACCAAGATATATCCGAAATGAATGTTTAAACATGTGTAAGTTATTTTGTATCAATACGATTAGTTAAATGTTTCGTTCGTATTAAAAGGATATCCGCACATTTTACCGTACAGGCCTAGGCTAGTAACAACAGTAGACAATAACATATAAATTATAACAATATCATTTTCAGTGAGAATGCGTACACGAACATGTTTTATAAAACCTAATTTGTTTTTATTTGACATAATATTTTGTCGAAACTAATAAAAACTATGCAGCTAATCTAGAATCTACAATTTCCTAATTAAACAGGCCTATATCTACCATAGTCAAGTTTTATCTTAGGCCTACTTTTTTGGTGTATCATATTTATTACTTCGCGACAATTTCTTCATAGCCCTCCCCCACCATAAATCTGCATGAATGTAAGTCTAAATATCAGATAGCGACGCTGTTTTTGTCTTCTAACAATATTTATTTTATCATCTTCTGCTGTCTGTTAGGGTTATGTTGAATATATTAATACGAAAATAAACCCCTCAATTGTCTTTATGAGTATGTTAATACCCCTTTAAACTTTGTACTTTCTTTTATAGGCCTCTAAATATAAGATGGGCTCTTCCTAGCTACGAGAACGTAGCTAAAAACGTTAAGATATACCGATGTGTTTGTTTTTAGCTACGATTGGATGCCTTTAGTTCCAAGTAGCAAACTGAATTTCTTTATTAATGCATGTAACATCTTTAAAATAAGATCAGTTTATCCTATTATGATTAATTAAACTTACAGAGGCCAGTGTAATGGCAAAACTGTCGCCTAACTCCAAATATTCGCGTTTAAATTAATGAAGCGTTGTTTTTGTCTGACATTCACCGCCATCGAAATCCATTCATAGTTACAGTGCTTTAGATTGCCCTTTTGATTGGCTGTTATAAAAGCCTTCTATTTAGCCCCGCCTTCATGATGACAGCGTATCGTTTAAAAAGATGGTGGTCTTAGTAACGGCTTAACGCCTCGATTTTAAAAACGACAATTTGTACCCAGTTCAGGTAGGATTACATGTATATGGCAGAAATATTATAAATAACAATAATCAATCGTTGTTTTGATTAAAACTATTGTCAATTTTGTTTACAAATACCGGGTGCGAATCGCTCCCGCATGTGCTACGTTGAAGTTAATAGCATCAACTCTTATCTCGAAAAAATGGAGGGTTGAGAGATAAGATTTGTTATCTAGGCTCTTCCCTGCTACAACCCTCCATGAATAACAGAGTGTAAAAAAGACTTTATTGCAGCATGGATCGTATATAATATGGATAGCTGACCCTGCAGCAGCTGTCATTGGACGATGAATTATGTTGTACATCGCATGCGCGAAATAAACCTACCCCAAGTGATTTCCGGTAGAAGCTATAGCTGTTGTTTACAAAGCAAAGTCGTACGATTTGATTGAGATTGATGAAGTCATTGGTGTAAGTAACAACAATTTTATCACTGATAATTTTTTTAATCCATTTCTGAAATAATACGGAATATAATTCAACAGCTTTTTATTCAATAATATAAAATGTTTAAGTGCTGATCTTGATCTATAATAGGCCTATAACACAACACAGTTATAACAATCACTAGGCCTATAACTATAGGCCTATATAGTATTATACACACGACGTGTTGTGTTATATTATGTTTAATCGCTAAATGTCATTCAAAGATTAGATTGATCTATAATACTAATGAATAAAGGAATGTGATCAATAATAAAAATAATGACAATCTACTTCCAGTTCGTTTTTGCTGAAGAAGAGGCAGATAGTATTATTAAGTCAACAGCTAGTACTAGTACTAGTAGTACCACAAATATGTTTTACTTAATTTCATTATTAATGTAATGCATGTAACATCTTGAAAATAAGTTAATTTTATAGGCTACTAGAACTTATTAAACATACGGCATACGCACCCCTCTCTAGATCTATAATATAATAGTGAGACAACTTTGGTTTATCCGCAAATATTGTCAGTTAATTAAATCAAATGTTGTTTTTATCAAAATTGATACAGACATTAATAATTACAGTTTATATCTCCCCAACTAACAGCTTGTT